TTGAAAGGGCTTCACAAGAGCAACCACACCATGACAATTTAACCTGTGGCGACGGTTGGCACAAAAGTAATAAAAGTGGTGAGTTAGTGAATACTTGAAATAATTTCCGTGCTTTAATACTGTTATAAAAAGCTGAAGTCTAGATCCAGAAACACTGTCTGTTTCTTATAAATATTTTTCTCTTGCCCTTTTTTCTGATACTAGTTTTTCCTGAAACTGCTTCAACCCAGTGAAATTCCTTTTTGCCATTATCTTTACTGTAATTTTGTGAATGTAGATAAACATGCATATGTTTAAAATTCAATGATAAACGTTCTCATTAATGCATGTGTGACCACGTTTTACAGAAATGATGTCTGCCTTAGGATTGGGAGAAGACGAAGATGAAGAATCTCCTTGGGATTCTGAGGTACTGACAAATACCGTAAAGTGGAGGTGCTTACTTTACTTTCCACCTACGTAGGCCTGTGAGGGACTGTGTCCTCACATTTTCAGCCTATAGATAATAGTTCTCTACCAAGTGCTGCTAAGTTGTGTGATTCATTTAATGAGGTAGAAATCAGAAGGAACCACTTTGGATTAAGTAAAAATTAAAAAAAAATTTCAACCTATGACCTGAAAGATCCTGTGATGGATATGGGTGTGTGCGGGTCCTATGGGATCAGAGGGAAATCAGGATCTATAGTTTCTCCTCGGAAACCTGAAAAGATAGCAAATGAGCCTTGAGAGTGTCGTTCTGCCTGGATTGTAAAGTATAAATCTGTGAGGAAACGTCAGGAGAAAGAAAAAAAAGTGTGAATGTAACCTTGTGGGGTTACAGCAATCTTGTTTAAATTTGTCTTCATTTAATTTCTTCTTTAATAGATTTTAATTCCTTTAATCAGAAGTGAAGTACGTTGACTACCTGTGTAGGATCCGTGCTTGAAGTAACATCAATATCAATAATGATGACCAGTTGTAATGACACCACCATAGAAAGAGAAGGGGACAGCTTGGAAGTGTAGTCACTGTGCATACTGGAACCCCCACAGCCAGAAGATATGTCCATACTTAGTTCTGGCATTTAATATTCATAGAATTTGGGGGGAAATGAACCTATCTGAACATCAGTGACTTTGTTATGCCATAAAGACAAGTGATGCACAAGTGTGACGAGGAGATAAAAACATTTTGTGAGGATAACATGTCTGCAAATATGTGGCAGCAGCAAGATCCTCCTGCTCTTCAGAATGAAACGAACACTGAGGACCAGTTTCACACTTGAGGGCAGTAGAAAAGTAGTGCCACGAAAAGAATAGGAAGGTAGACGTGGCAAAAACATTTCCAGTTTGGAAGTGGTGAGTCTCAAGAAACCATTGATTAAATAACCTAGAAGAATATAGTGATTCAGTGTATAAGGTCTTTCTAGTGAGATCTTAAATGCTTTGCCCCTGAGTAAATTTCTGTGACTGAGTTACCATTACGTCTGAGGCAGTGAGATGCTGAATATTACAAATGAGGGCTGAAGGTTACGGTAATCATAGCACAGAAGACCAAACAACTTGTTGTAAGTCAGTCTAACTGCTTTATATAAAGAAAGTGGAGGTGGCGTTAGCGTGCTCTCTGAGAATGACATGTAAACTCCCAACTAGAGGATGAAAGCAGCAGCCAACTCCATGAGAGTCAAGAACGTTCCAATGAATCACATTTGTTCATTTTGATGTAAATGTCCTGAGATGATTCAGAAGCACCAAGTTGAATATTCATTCATAGATGTATAATATACTGTGTACAAAATAATTCCATAGCACATTTTAAACACTGAAATACATTTATGTCCTTTCTTATCAAAGCTTACTGCATATTTTGGAATTTCTTTTTTGATTGGGAAGGGGTCACATTCTACATTTGATTTTTGTGCGCTTTTATTTATAAAAACAGAAAAGGTTTCTTACTATACTTGCCAGGTTTCTTACTCTGACTTTAAATTTCTGTCATTGGACATATTTTAAATGTTTCGTGCTATATTTAAGTAAGTGAACTTACAAGAATTTCTTAAGATGTCTGTTTTCTTAATTGTCCTCTTACATTGCATGATGAAATAATGTTACATGTCCTTAGCTTAGCAGCTTGCTGAAACATGAGAATCAGTTAATCTTTTAAGGAATATGTTCTTCTGATCTTCCCTGCTCTCTGTCACAGTTGGTAACCAGAGCAGAGCTAAGATAGGTTTGATCGAGAGCACATATAGGTTCCTTTATTGACATGTTTCTTTTCAGTGCATGCTTGTCCTATTTTTCTAACGGTGTTTAAACAGGAAATTGAAATATCTTAGAAAATGATTAAGAAATCCGTATGTAACTCATTTTGATGTCTGTTTCAACAGAGTATCTCTGCCAGTGTTTCACTAAAGGGTGTAGGTGTTTTATCCGGGACTGCGGATCGGACAGGAGAGACTAGAGTGCATGGACACATAGAAGGTAAGAACTGTTTTATGTTTAAAAAGTCATTTGACAGATGTCTATTTAGAATATAATGAGTTGTCAGCTGAGTTTGTAGAAGTAAGCAGTGGTAAGTTGTGTATGAATTCCCAGGGTTTAGCAACAGAGTAGACTGAATGTTATTAGCAGCTGCACTGCACTGCTTGTTCATGGGAAGCTGTTCAGAAGCTGGAGGGAAAGGGCACTAAAAACAAGGACGACAGAGAGCATGGGGACAGGTGATGGCGAGAAGCGGGTGCGTCTCGTGATGGGTGGGAAAGTGCACCGCATTAGAGATAGGGGAGATGTGAAGGAAGCTTCATTCCCAAGTGCGGGAGGAGCAGAGTCAGCTCCACTCCTGCTCTCTGGCTGTGAGAAGCCCTGGGGTCAGAGTGCCTGACCATGCAGAGCTATTGCTGTTTCCTGTACAGACATGCACCTGGGTATCACCCGCTCTGCTTGTCACCTGACCAAAGGACTGGCATGAAACCGCTTAGGGTGGTTGGGTTTACAGCTTACCAAGGGGTCCAGTCTTCCATCAGGGTGGCATGGTGGGAGAGTGCAGCTAGCTGGTCACCTAGTGTCTGAGGTTAGGAAGGAGAGAATGGGCAGGAAGTGGGAGGCTAGGCATTAAAACCCACTCAGGACCCACTCGGGACCCTCTCTCTGCCTCTAGCAAAGCTCCACCTTTAGGAATAGCACCACCAGCTGGGGACCAAGTGCGACACAGGAGCTTGTGAGGACCGTCTCACACTCTCGCCCATGTACATGTATAATTTGTTGTCCTCTAAAATGTTGCTACTTCACAGAAAAATTTTCTGAACACCAAAACAATAGAAAGAATAAAATAGTGAGATTGGTTTTGAAGAGCTCAGGAAAGCCATGTCCTGACAAAAGTCCCCGAGAAGGTCGAACTCTGCCCTCTCTGGGGAATGATAGGAACTTGAGGTTCATTTCCCGAACTACATAGAATGATAGGATTTGGAATTAGACTCATCACAGAGCAGTTTCTCTGACTTTAATGAATCAATTGCTGATGTTGACATAAAAATATAGCCCTCACTTCTAGAGAAATAGGAAATTGTTCTGGAGCCAAACAGGGTTGTTGATAACTTATTCATGTGTAGTGCAAATTCTGATTGGTCTTAAAAATAAAAACCCAGAGTCAGATATCAGGGTGAATGCTGAAAGATCAGAGAAGTAAAGCCAGCCACTAGAGAGACTTCTTACCTGTACGAAATCCTCAGCCCGAAGAGGGGCTGAGCTCCTGTCTCCGCCCAGCCATAACACTTCCTCTCCGTTGTCTGTATAGACCTCCAGACCTCTATGGTTAGCTAATGGCTAGCTCCACCGTCTGTTCTTCATGCAAGCTTTATTTGTTACAGGACAAACAAAACATCACCACATTTATGTTCCAATGTGACAACAGTTGCATGGAATTTTAATACCAATAGAACAAAACATAATCATAAGTCAACGTGCTGTAAAAATACATGAGGGATGTGTTTGCTGTGCAAGCTTGAGCACCTGCATTTAATTCCCCACAACACACATGAATACCCCCCCCCAAAAAAAAAAACTCAAAACAGGCAGCATGGGCTTGTATTTCAGGACTGGGAAGGCAAAGACAGCCTTGTCACCAGGGTTTGCTGACTAGCCAGCCTAGCCTGCTCAGCAGGTACCAAGCCAATGAGAGAGTCTGTCTCAAAAACACCAAGAACCACCGCCAAAAACCCCAAAACAAAACACTCCAGGTAGTAAACAGGGCCTGGACAGCCATGGCCTCTACGTGTGCCTGCAGGCATGTGCACCCAGTCCTCTCTTCCTTCCCTCTACACCACCCACCCACCCACACCCCTCCACATACACATACACATGCGCACACACACACACACACACATACACATACATCCACCCGCCGTAATAAACGGTAGAGACATTAGGAGAATGGGTTACAGAAAGTCTCTGCTCTGGGCATCAGATGATATCTGATAATGTCCTCAGCCTTTGAGTTGGTGAAATCTATGGAGTCTGTAGATTCCCAAAAGGATTATCCTCGTTAGTCACAAGGATGATGGGCCAAATACAGAGATGGACAATCAACAGCTGGCTGTTTGTGGCTAAAGGTAGCTCAGAATGACTTGGCTCTGGCCCCGCATCATTCTAATTCTCTATAATTATTGACATTTTAGTCAGCCTTGTGCAATGTTTAACACAGGCGTAGCTTTTTTTTTCAGTAACTTCAATTCATACTCTCCTATGCTGACCAAAGACTCAGGTCACATCC